CAGGCTCAATTTTCAATTTACAGGCTGAATTTTCTTTACCTAAATTCTTCTTTGTAGGTTTATTTTGACTTTGACCTATCGTGTTACACATTATAACAAAATGAGATTTTTTTGCAAATTATACACTTAGGTCTGTTCTTACATTTACTGGCAATGTGACCTGGCTTCAAACAACAAAAACTTGCCTTTTTATTGTTTACAAAATTGTTTCTATCTGATAGTAGCATAGATTGAGCTTTAATACAGACTTAGGATTTGTGACAATGAACAAATTACACAGTCTGAACTTACCGGTTTCTCATTCTTCATTGACATATATGAACTTGAAGATTCTGTTCCGAAGAGCAGCGTCTACCTCTGCGGATGATACAACATTGTTCGTAAAGGAGACTGGCGACGCCTGGAGGCTGAATCTAATCAAAAAGCAAACGATCCGGCTGACTTTTTCTCTTCAAACAAACTCAAATTAAATTCACAAAAAACAGGATACATGTGTATCCAAACTGCAAAAAGACAAAATATAAAAAAATAGGACTACAAACCTATTTATTAGAGAGGATCAAATCCAAATTTCAAAAACTGAGTGAGATTGGATGATGAATTGAGTTGGGACGCACAAATAAAAATACCCCTGCCGCAGCAAACCTGCCGACTAAGCGAATTTCTATTTCTAAATTTATTTTCAATTAAATCTTTTAAAATAACATTAGTTTTAACGAGTACCAAGGTTTGCTGCTACAAGGAAACTAATTAAGGTGACACAGTACTCCCTATCCCGCCCATGTTAAAATTACAGTTTTTAGGTACACATAACTTTTACAAATATTAACCTATCAACTTGAAATTTTTGTACTAAGTTTAATACATTATTACCCACAATAATAAGAAGCAAAAAAAGTATTTGAGCAAAATTAAACTTTTAGTATGATTTTAAAAATTTTATAAAATATTTTGTAATTTTTTAACATAAAATATTTTTTTATTTCAAAGGTTTTTGGTTGTCATGTAAACTGATTCGTATTATTGTTCCTTATCATATGAGGAACACACACACCAATTTTCATTGAAATTGGATTATAATTGAGGAAGAAAAGTGTACCTGACTAAAAACCACTTGACTTTCGGAAAACGACAACAGTACCCCCTGTCACGGGTAGTAGTAGGACCCTTGGGCATGCTAAAGTAAGAGTGTATAAAAGTCGCTGTATAGCTTAAAATAATTTTTTCTTCCATAATATTTGGTATGTACGTGTTCAGGAAAGTGTGTTCTACAAAACTAAATAATAAAAAAATGTTAAAAAAATTTTAATATTTGACGGCGTACCCTCTGTGTCTTGATTAGTAGTAGGACCTTGGACATGCTAAATTAGGCTGCAATGCAATAGTTTATAAAAGTAGACGAAAATTTAAAAAATAATTTCTTTCTTCCTTAATTTTTATTATTTACGTGTTCAGAAAAGTCTGTTCTACAAAACTAAATAGGCTACCTAATAAAAAAAAATTAAAAAAAAATTTATATTTGAGTACTGTTACCTTAACCCTTTCAGTGCTATGAAACGATATATCGTTGTTTTAAAAAAACCCTAAGGGATATAGAGAGGAAGGTTATTTAAAAAAAAAATAGCAAAACGGCCATTGGTGACCTGCATGTTCATAGGATACACTACCAACCACTTAGCTAAAAGATTCGCCCAATCCGATGATTTCGAGGTGTATGTCTAAACCAAGGATTATGAACACCTCACTATGCCCCAGTGGTTGTAGTATATCGCTACAAACACACAGGTCACCAATTATTTGCCACACAGGACGGGATTCGAACCCGAGCAGACGAATGCCACTGGCCAAGTGACACACGCCCTAGCCTTCTCGGCTATCTGTGCTTGAAGACTGGGGAGTCAAAACCCGGTATTTAAGCTGTCGCCACCGATTGCGAACAGATGGCGCTGCAGATAGTTGTTCAATGCGTTACTAGGTAGCAGCACCAGCTAGTCACGGACTATTTAGATGCAATCTTTTAGTTTTAGTAGTAGTAAATGTGTTCCTGAGACTTTGCTGCAAAACATTAGTTTCCCAAAAATTGCTATATTACAATAACCTCGTCCAACTAAATCAGGGTTAAATTCAATATTACATTGTAAACTATATGTCTTTTGATTTTGTGAGATTTCGGTTTCAAATAATGCTATCAGAACATAAAAATTTATAGGAAAACCAGGAAAATTACAACAAAAACTAAGTTTTATTTGATGTTTACTACAAATACCGGGATTTATCTTTCTTATATATTTTCTTATTGTGTTATTATTCAAAATTAGCCTAATTAATAAAACAGTGACAGCATGACAGTTAAAATTCAACAACGGGTAATGGAATTAAAAGGCAAACAAAAAAGTCTTATAAAATATGAATTATTGGCCTAGCACTGAAAGGGTTAAGTGTTTTTTTCAGTAAAATATTAATAGCTTAATATAAAATAAATAAATTTGCCAATTGTACAATATTGTCCATAAGAATAACATAAGAATTTTTAATTTACAATTTTTTGAATTTTCTCCGTTACTAATAACCATACAAAAACACTTTGATTTATTAAATTGTTTGTTTTTTAAGCTCTTTGAAAAGGTCTAGAGAGAAATTCGGAAATTTTGTGTTTTGAGGGTCAAAAATGAGAAAAACTAATTTTTACCCCATAAATCCCCCCTTAAAACCCTGTTCCCATTGTCCGATCATGCTGGTTCGCGAACTCATTCAACTTTATTCCACCTTACACCATTAAACCAAATTTCATCAATATCGGACAAAAATTACTCAAGTTATCGCGTTTACGGACACACACACATCTATCTATATATATAAAATCCAATGTATGTTTGTTTGTCCTTCATGAGTACTCATATTTAAATGGAATTAAAGAATCTTAACAGCTGGTTCAACTAAACAGTTTGATTCTGTGATGTTCAATAGCATTAAAAAGTTAATAGGTTTACCAACAGGGCGCAGCACTACTGTATTATTTTTTAAATTTATGACAGCAGCTAATTTGTAACCAAAAGGTAAGTGAGCGTAGCGAATGAACTTCAACCTGGAGGCGAGTTAGCGTAGCGAACGAGCTAACCTGCAGGCAAGTGAGCGTAGCGAAGGAACTTCAACCAGGACGTGATTGAGTTATGCGAACGAGCTCATCTTGTAAATGAACGAGCATTTGACATAAAACCACATTAGGACAGGACAACGTCTGTCGGGCCAGCTAGTATATATATATATTTGAATGAATGGTGTTTTTTGCCTCTGGGGACATCAAAATGAAAAAGTAAATCGGTACCGGGCCTAGGTCGTACCGTCCCACCTACAGGAATAGCTACTTCCCTATAGGGAAATTCGCTAAAAACTAGAAGGGGGCTTGAGGGGTCTTTGTTCTTTGAAGAATAAGGACCTTCGGAACCCTGGCCCTCCCCAAACTTGTGTATTTTGGCCTAATAAAACAACACATTTCGTATTCAATCATCTTATGGGGAGCTGTGAAGAACATTGAGCAGATCTTTGTTTGGCAGAATAAGGCAGTTAGAGCAATCTTAAGCATGCCGCCTATGACCAGCTGCAAAAATGTTTTCAAAGATCTTGCCTCTCTCACAGTCCCTTCACCTTTGCTTTTTATCTTAGAATCTGTTTGCTACATAAAATCACAGAACATCAAACCAACTTTTCCAAATCGCACGCACAACACCCGAATAAAGGGCACACATGCAGTACAACACAAACTCACCACATTTGAACACAAACAAGATTACATTGGAATTAAATTGTACCAGGCCTTGCCAAAAATATTACTTGACATTCAGAGCTTTAAAAAATTAAAATTAGAATTGAAAAAATATCTACTGGGGTCAAGCTTCCATGACATAAGACAGTTACCTTATCGGTGACAAAAACTAGTTTAAGTTATTCTTTGTATTAATACTGACCTGTCCAATTCCTTAAGGGAAAGGACTACGGACAGATTTAATTCTAATTACTGCCATGAAATAAGTACCCTGTCAACAGCCAATCGGGAGACAGATCTAGCTCACCAAAAGCAGCACGGCAACCTCCACCTTGGTTTCTGTAGCTCAAGTAAATTGGTGACAAGTTACACTCCCTGTACCCCTTCTATTGTCATTCTGTGTTTTCTGAGTTCAACACACACACACACACACACCAATTTTAGATGGCCAATTTTTTACTGACCGTCCAAAATCAGTGTGTATGCAATTAGCCTCAACATGCTTTCTGGTCATTCCCGATGACGTGGAACATACCTTTTTCGATTGCCAGCGTTGGGAAAGGCCCCGCCTGGAGGCTCAACAGTAAGTAGGACTGCTGTCGGTGGACACGGTCATACCGATGATGATGGAGGATGAGGACAATTGGACCTGTGTTTCACATCCAGGGTATTCTTTACGCCAAGAAGCTCGACCTTGACCGGGATACAGTGTAGGTCATAAAGTATCTAAATGCCAGAAACGGTGAGAGCCCTGAGGTCTTAGGTCACATGTTGGCCTGACTTGAAGTAATGTGACATTGACAAACAATTCCAGGTCTGTGTCCAACAGAGTAGTGGGTGTTTTTTAGTGAGTAGTCTGTGATAAATTCAGGAGTCTCACACTACAGGCTGGCTACCTGTGTGCGTAAAAGCATTTTCCTTCCTCTCCCTTAAAAAAAACATGCTTTCTGAAAGTAGCTGAGGAAGCTTTCTTGCCATTAAAACTGTTACTAATTGCAGGACCATCCTCGATCATTGTGCATTATCCTTGATTTAGCAAACCTAAATTCTCATTTTGCCTGTAAATAAAATGAGAAAAAACACTATAAACTTATTTTTTTTCTGTTTTTTTTTTTATATTTTAGTTGAGTTTCAATAATCAACTGAGATGTTTTCCAAGGCTCCAATTTGGAAATAGTATTTTATCTGTTTGTACTGTAGTTATTAGAGGGAAAAAATTTAATCAAATTTATTACAGGTTCAGCTGGGTGATGATATTAGAAGGATCCCCATCCACAATGAGGCGATCACATACGATGAGCTAGTCTTGATGATGCAAAGAGTGTTTAGAGGAAAGTTAACCAGCACTGATGATATAACAATCAAGTACAAAGATGAAGGTATGTACTTGAAATGGTTGTCATTTTGAAGTATTGTTTTGAAGCATTTGAAGAATTGTCATTAACTCCAAACAAAAACAATGGTGTCTATACAGCGTGTTAGTTAAGTATTGAAACAAATCTGTATTTTTTCAACCGAAATAGATAATATTCTGTTTGTGGCATTGATTTTTATCAAAGGATCTGCAATTTTTAACCCCAAAAATATTTTCAACCCCCCTAAAAGGGTAGGGGGTGACTTATTTTTGTTTAAATAGCAACCCCTATTGAGTGACCCCCTCATTTTGAAGGGTTGGTTAAGACATAAGCAATGGTGCAAAACATGTAGGCCTACCCCTAAAGCCAAAATGGCAGGTATTTAAAAATTAAGATTGGGTTAAAAAGCACCCATTTCACCAATTTAAAATTTGTATAGCCTGACAAAGCCTTATTGAGTGACCGCTCATTTCATTTTATAGCCCGTGTTACACTAATAACATTGATTTAAGATAAATTGATTTCCGTTGATCCTAAACAAAATTAGTGGTCGCTCAATAAGAGTGGCTTTGTCAGGCATTCAAAATTTTGAATTGGTAAAATGGGCGCTTTTTCATTTTCACCTAATCAAATTTTTAAATACTGTACCTGCAAATTTGGATAGTGGTGACATATCGACTACTATATCATTTCATAAGGACAACTTACTTTCTCAAAGCTCTTAGAAAAACTTGCAATAGTGTTTGAAATAAAACACCTATTGTCTAATAAAAAAATCATTTGTTAGAAGGACTACTCATTTTGTCAAAGCTCTTTTTCATGAAAAAAAGTTCCCGAACAAACGCACCATTAGGTATTTCCACTAAATGTTGTTCCCTGTCCTACCTTTCAACACTAGACAACAATCTCACAATTTGTTCTTCTTCATCCATTTTATAATATCGCTAAATAAGGTCAAACACAAGGGTCAACCTTAAATCTTTTAATAAATTAAACTTTTTAATACCTATCTCCTACCTTGTTTTTTATTGTTTTAATTAATTTATTTCATTACTTAATCTAAATCTTTTTGATCATTATCAAGTTTTTTATGCCAGCCATCCAAAAATTCCTGAAAGCAATTATTGTTTGATTTTTCCCTCTGCATCGAGAATCCATTTGGATCATGTTTTACAATTTATTGGCAGTTGAAACCACAGTTTTGGATCACACACGTTGTAATGTTTGTGTTATTTTTTAGACCCTAGGGCACGTATTCCTCAGATTTTGTTTAGGAGGTTTAAGTTTCAATTCATTACTTCCTTCTTGTGAAACCATTTGTCCTGAAGCTCTTTTGTAAATACAAACATAGCCTATCCCTGATATAATTGTAGGTAGTCTTAGCAATATCTCATGTTTCAAGTCCCTATTTTCTTTGCGCCTTTGAAAAATTTCAGTGTCAATAATGTATAGTTACCATAAAGGCCTTTCCACACTGCAGGCCGGCCACACTAGCTACGCGCCAATTCGCACAGCCGTAGGAATGCTATTCCGGCCACGTTTACCGTTGGTAGGTACCATCAGTATTCAGAAAGATGTCAGCTCCGACAGTCCCGTGGTGTAAATCAGGATTATCGTGTGGCTTACCTTGATTTGATGACTCCAGTAGCAGCAGCAGAAGTGATGATGAGTTGGTATTGTTGTATTGACAATGACAAATTCTTCACTTATCTTAGAATGAATCTTTTGAATAAACATTTATCTATGTTGCGCATGCGCGGGCTCAAAATAGGAGCAAGGCACGTGGCCGGAGCTCTGCTAGGTAAATGGTTTTATAAAAATAAGGGAAGCGAGATTTTGAAAAGTAGATAACTTGTATCCAACAGCTAGGGGTGTGCGAATATTTGAAAGTTTGAATAGTTGAACGAATACTTTAGTACTCGAGCCCGACTCGATCTTGTCGCATCCGAACCTGGATGCGAACGAAGGATCAGGTGCTCGAAATAATAAACACTTTTACATTTAAGAAAAGCCGCATTGGTGTGCGGGAGTCGGTGAGGTAGGACAATGACTGTAGGTACAGAGAGTGTCGGGTAATCGAGGTAGCAGTGGGAACGGAAGGTGGTGTGATGGAAACGTTCAACCAATGTGGTTAGTTTATTCGATCAGGCCATATGACGTCAAATCGTACGATATTCTAACGGTACATGGATCGAGCTAGCAAATTTAATACCTGTAACTATCTGAATCTGAATTAGAAATATACAATTCATTTTATATTTAAATTAATACACTACAGATCTTAATGAGTATATTCAAACATTCGAATAGTAAACAAACCTAGAAATAATATTTAATTTTAACCAAATAAATCATGGTATTGTGTTGTGTTCTTTCATCCCAACATTTCATGCTTCGTATTATAAAATCACACCGGCAACTTCAACATATAATGACAGCTTCCTTAACTCTAAAGTCTACATGATTATTTTCAAGGACGGTAAATTTGTTGTGTCATAATTAAAATTACTCCGCTCAGCTGCCTAGTTTACAATGCTGCAATACGATAGGCTTAGGCCCGGTTCACACGAACGACTTTCCTAGCCGACTAGGCTGTGACTAGGTAAGCCCGACTGGGTAGCGGACCACAGGATCACACTGGTTCACACGAGCCACACATGTCCACGGACTAGATGAAAATATAGATATTTTCAAAACCACTGGGATCCATCACTGGTGCACAATGAGAACAAAGGGAAGAGTGCGAGCTGCAGCGCGACTACCCGATCACTCGTGTGAACGCTCCTATAAGGCTACGTGTACTGCTACGCCGCTAGACTGGGTGACTGGGTAGCTGCCACGAGTGACTGGGAAGCGGGGCCCGACTAAGTTTTGGGACACCAAGCTCGAACGCGGCTAGCTAGTCGACGCCCTACGCTCGTGTGAACGGCTCCATTTAATCCTGTTGTCCGCTACCCAGTCGGGCTTACCTAGTCACAGCCTAGTCGGCTAGGAAAGTCGCTCGCGTGAACCGGGCCTTACTGCAACCTACCGGCATGGATACATAAGACTGTCAACCATTCTTATTTGATTAATTAACAATAGCCTATATTTAGCAGCAATTTAGTTTGTTTTAGTTTATCAGACAGATATCTATCTGTATGATTTTGAAATACATTCTCTTAGCTTAGTTAATATTAGGATCTACTTTTTGTAATGTGAACTTAAAAGTACAGTATAATGACAAAATAAGTCGTCTGAAAGTGTTGTGTGAATAGCAACTAGCAAGCTACGAGTGAGGTTATTAATTACTGTTAATTAATTTCTATGAAAATAATCTGCAACATTTTTCTATTTTTGAACAGAGAAATATCTTTTTTTGACCCCGTCCCTACTTTCTTGTTTTGTTACACAATTTTGTCTGCAATAGGAGCATCGTATTGCAAACGGGAGGTGTAAGAGGGGAGGGTCTTTGACCTTGAAAATGCCTGAACCCTACTGGAGACAATGATTAATGGTTTGTTTACATCCTACTGCCCTTCCTTCCGAGAAAAACACCACGCAGTTTAAAAAAACATTGCCTTGCAGTTCAATAACATTGACTTGTTTTTCTACATTTAATTTTAATTATTTTTCTGGAAAGGTTCCAGCAGGTTAATCCAATTACGTTATCTTACTAATATTATAAATGTGAAAGTTTGTGTGTTTGTTTGTTTGAAGTTCAATCACGCATAAACCACTGGACGGATTGGGCTGAAATGTGGCTTGATGATAGCTCACATTCCCGATTACCATATAGGCATATTCTTATCTCAAAAATCCTTTTGGGCTCCGCCCCAGTGGCTCTGTAGTTCCCCATGTTAACCTTATGAGTATTCATATTTCAAGGGAATTAAAAAATTTAGTCAGCTGTTTCAACTAAAAAAGTTGGTTCTATGATATACAAAAGCATTAAAAAGTTACAAGATTTGCCAACAGGGTGCAGCACTATCATTTTTTTGCATTTATGTAAACAGCTAATTTGAACTAAGCAGCAACAAAAAACTGTGATAAGCAATGAGAGCTGTTAAAGTAGGATTGTTTACAGTTATGTTTATGTCTTTAATGTCATGAATAATTTGTGATTTTTTGTGAATTCGTAATTTTTTTTTTATTGTTTAATACTGTTTGTTCAATGAAATGGCGACCATACATAGTAGGTATTTTAAACCAAGTATGAATGGAGATGAGTGTAGAATGAGTGGCGCGATCTTGTAGTCTTGTTAGTGACTAAGGCCAACATTCCTTAGACACAGCTGTTAATTAATAGCCCAAACAGCTAATGGCAACTAAGGGACCTACAGTTTATAGTGGAATCCGAACTACATTTTTCCTTGGTATATACGAATTGGTCTAATTATCAGGATAGTAGTTTTTGAACCATATGTATTGATAATAATAGATTTTTCCTTATAAGAAAATGCATCTCTAGTTAATATTTAGTCGAGTAATTATTTATCAACAATTCCTATGATTTTTGAAAAAAAATAGCTGTATAATCTAGATATTATGAAGCATATTTTTGTTATAACTTTTTTATTACTTAAGATACAACTTTGTACCTAATAACCTTTTCTATTGACCATATTTTTTTTATTCAAAAGACGTTTTGACCGATGTCCCATCTCATACCGTTCTCGAGTTAGAGCCGTTTCAATGAATAGCACGTTCCACCAGCTTTGTCCCCCTTCCCTTCAAGTTCTCGACCACCTGAAAAGTAGGCGACGTGTATTTTTTATCACTACAGTCCGTATTACAACTATCAGCAAAGATATTTGATATTACAGTAGAGTCCCGAAAACTCAGCGTAATGTGGACTGGAAGGGTGCCGAGTTTGTGAAATGCCAGGTTATCGGGAACTAGAGTTAAAAATAAGAGCAATACAATTTTTAAGCTTTTAGCCTTCTTTAATTAGATTTATATTACAAGTCAGTATGAAGTCATCAGATATAGTACAACAAATCCTTAGTACGAGTTGCAAATGATTATACTTGAGCTGGCTTGTG